CACCCTAGTCATAGACTGTTCTCTCTGCTATCACACGGCAAGCGGTACCGGAGCGCCAAGTCTAGGTCCAAAAGGCTTCTCAACAGCTTCTACCCCCAAGCCATAAGACTCCTGAACAGCTAATCATGGCTACCCGGACTATTGCACTGCCCCCCCACCCCCACCCCATATTTTTATGCTGCTGCTACTCTGTTAATTATTTATGCATAGTCACTTTAACTCTACCCACATGTACATATTATCTCAACTACCTCAACTAGCCGGTGCCCCCGCACATTGACTCTGCACCGGTACCCCCCTGTATATAGCCTCACTACTGTTATTTTATTTTACTTCTGCTCTTTTTTTCTCAACACTTTTTTGTTGTTGTTGTTTTATTTTAGTTTTTAATTAAAAAATAAATGCATTGTTGGTTAAGGGCTGTAAGTAAGCATTTCACGGTAATGTCTACACCTGTTGTATTCGGCGCATGTGGCAATTTTTTTGTTGATTTGATTTGAAGTAGAGGCCTAAGCATTGTTGTTCACTAGTGGTGGGGTTGGAAAGTAATAAAGGGAAATATATTTTTAAAAAGGATATGTACACTGCTCAAAAAAATAAAGGGAACACTTAAACCTCCTTCTTTCCACTCCTCTCCTCTTTTGACCTCACCCTCTCACCGTCCCCCCCTACTCACAAGGCAGGCAATACGCTTGACCTCATCTTTACTAGATGCTGCTCTTCTACTAATCTCACTGCAACTCCCCTCCATGTCTCCGACCACTACTTTGTTTCCTTTTCTCTCTCGCTCTCCTCCAACACTACTCACTCTGCCCCTACACAGATGGTAATGCGCCGCCGCAACCTTCGCTCTCTCTCTCCCACTACTCTCTCCTCTTCCATCCTATCATCTCTTCCCTCTGCTCAATCCTTCTCCCTCCAATCTCCTGATTCTGCCTCCTCAACCCTCCTCTCCTCCCTTTCTGCATCCTTTGACTCTCTGTGTCCCCTATCCTCCCGGCCGGCTCGGTCCTCCCCTCCAGCTCCGTGGCTTGATGACTCATTGCGAGCTCACAGAACAGAGCTCCGGGCAGCGGAGCGGAAATGGAAGAAAACTAAACTCCCTGCCGACCTGGCATCTTTTCACTCCCTCCTCTCTACATTTTCTTCATCTGTTTCTGCTGCTAAGGCCACTTTCTACCACTCTAAATTCCAAGCATCTGCCTCTAACCCTAGGAAGCTCTTTGCCACATTTTCCTCCCTGCTGAATCCTCCCCCCCCCCCCCCCCCCCCCCCCCTCTCTCTCTGTGGATGACTTCGTCAACCACTTTGAAAAGAAGGTTGACGACATCCGATCCTCGTTTGTTAAGTCTAATGACACTGCTGGTCTTACTCACACTGCCCTACCCTATGCTTTGACTTCTTTCTCCCCTCTCTCTCCAGATAAAATCCTGCGACTTGTGACTGCAGGCCGCCCAACAACCTGCCCACTTGACCCCATCCCCTCCTCTCTTCTCCAGACCATCTCCGGTGACCTTCTCCCCTACCTCACCTCGCTGATCAACTCATCCTTGACCGCTGGCCATGTCCCTTCCGTCTTCAAGAGAACGAGAGTTGCACCCCTTCTCAAAAAACCAACACTCGATCCCACTGATGTCAACAACTACAGACCAGTATCCCTTCTTTCGTTTCTTTCCAAAACTATTGAGCGTGCCGTCTTTAGCCAACTCTCTTGCTATCTCTCTCAGAATGACCTTCTTGATCCAAACCAGTCAGGTTTCAGGACTGGTCATTCAACTGAGACTGCTCTTCTCTGTGTCACGGAGGCTCTCCGCACTGCTAAAGCTAACTCTCTCTCCTCTGCTCTTGTCCTTCTAGACCTGTCTGCTGCCTTTGATACTGTGAACCATCAGATCCTCCTCTCCACCCTCTCCGAGCTGGGCATCTCCGGCGCGGCTCACTCCTGGATTGCGTCCTACCTGACCGGTCGCTCCTACCAAGTGGTGTGGCGAGAAGCTGTCTCCGCACCACGTGCTCTCACCACTGGTGTCCCCCAGGGCTCAGTTCTAGGCCCTCTCCTATTCTCCCTATACACCAAGTCACTTGGCTCTGTCATATCCTCACATGGCCTCTCCTATCATTGCTACGCTGACGATACACAACTAATCTTCTCCTTTCCCCCTTCTGATAACCAGGTGGCGAATCGCATCTCTGCATGTCTGGCAGACATATCAGTATGGATGACGGATCACCACCTCAAGCTGAACCCTGGCATGACGGAGCTGCTCTTCCTCCCGGGGAAGGACTGCCCGTTCCATGATCTCGCCATCACGTTTGACAACTTTGTTTTGTCCTCCTCTCAGAGTGCGAAGAGCCTTGGCGTGACCCTGGACAACACCCTGTCGTTCTCCGCTAACATCAAGGCGGTGACCCGATCCTGCAGGTTCATGCTCTACAACATTCGGAGAGTACGACCCTGCCTTACACAGGAAGCGGCACAGGTCCTAATCCAGGCACTTGTCATCTCCCGTCTGGATTACTGCAACTCGCTGTTGGCTGGCCTCCCTGCCTGTGCCATTAAACCCCTACAACTCATCCAGAATGCCGCAGCCCGTCTGGTGTTCAACCTTCCCAAGTTCTCTCACGTCACCCCCCTCCTCCGCACACTCCACTGGCTTCCAGTTGAAGCTCGCATCCGTTACAAGACCATGGTGCTTGCCTATGGAGCAGTGAGGGGAACGGCACCTCCGTACCTTCGGGCTCTGATCAGTCCCTACACCCAAACGAGGGCATTGCGTTCATCCACCTCTGGCCTGCTGGCTCCCCTTCCTCTGCGGAAGCATAGTTCCCGCTCAGCCCAGTCAAAACTGTTCGCTGCTCTGGCACCCCAATGGTGGAACAAGCTCCCTCACGACGCCAGGACAGCGGAGTCACTCACCACCTTCCGGAGCAAGGCACTTAACCCTAATTGCTCCTGTAAGTCGCTCTGGATAAGAGCGTCTGCTAAATGACTAAAATGTAAATGTAAATGTTAAACAACACAATGTAACTCCAAGTCAATCACACTTCTGTGAAATCAAACTGTCCACTTAGGAAGCAACACTGATTGACAATAAATTTAACATGCTGTTGTGCAAATGGAATAGACAACAGGTGGAAATTATAGGCAATTAGCAAGACACCCCCAATAAAGAAGTGGTTCTGCAGGTGGTGACCACAGACCACTTCTCAGTTCCTATGCTTCCTGGCTTATGTTTTGGTCACTTTTGAATGCTGGCGGTGCTTTCACTCTAGTGGTAGCATGAGACGGAGTCTACAACCCACACAAGTGGCTCAGGTAGTGCAGCTCATCCAGGATGGCACATCAATGCGAGCTGTGGCAAGAAGGTTTGCTGTGTCTGTCAGCGTAGTGTCCAGAGCATGGATGCGCTACCAGGAGACAGGCCAGTACATCAGGAGACGTGGAGGAGGCCATAGGAGGGCAACAACCCAGCAGCAGGACCGCTACCTCCGCCTTTGTGCAAGGAGGAGCAGGAGGAGCACTGCCAGAGCCCTGCAAAATGACCTCCAGCAGGCCACAAATGTGCATGTGTCTGCTCAAACGGTCAGAAACAGACTCCATGAGGGTGGTATGAGGGCCCGACGTCCACAGGTGGGGGTTGTGCTTACAGCCCAACACCGTGCAGGACGTTTGGCATTTGCCAGAGAACACCAAGATTGGCAAATTCGCCACTGGCGCCCTGTGCTCTTCACAGATGAAAGCAGGTTCACACTGAGCACGTGACAGACGTGACAGAGTCTGGAGACGCCGTGGAGAACGTTCTGCTGCCTGCAACATCCTCCAGCATGACCGGTTTGGCGGTGGGTCAGTCATGGTGTGGGGTGGCATTTCTTTGGGGGGCCGCACAGCCCTCCATGTGCTCGCCAGAGGTAGCCTGACTGCCATTAGGTACCGAGATGAGATCCTCAGACCCCTTGTGAGACCATATGCTGGTGCGGTTGGCCCTGGGTTCCTCCTAATGCAAGACAATGCTAGACCTCATGTGGCTGGAGTGTGTCAGCAGTTCCTGCAAGAGGAAGGCATTGATGCTATGGACTGGCCCGCCCGTTCCCCAGACCTGAAAACAATTGAGCACATCTGGGACATCATGTCTCGCTCCATCCACCAACGCCACGTTGCACCACAGACTGTCCAGGAGTTGGCGGATGCTTTAGTCCAGGTCTGGGAGGAGATCCCTCAGGAGACCATCCGCCACCTCATCAGGAGCATGCCCAGGTCATACAGGCACGTGGAGGCCACACACACTACTGAGCCTCATTTTGACTTGTTTTAAGGACATTACATCAAAGTTGGATCAGCCTGTAGTGTGGTTTTCCACTTTAATTTTGAGGGTGACTCCAAATCCAGACCTCCATGGGTTGATAAATTTGATTTCCATTGATAATTTTTGTGTGATTTTGTTGTCAGCACATTCAACTATGTAAAGAAAAAAGTATTTAATAAGATTATTTCATTCATTCAGATCTAGGATGTGTTGTTTAAGTGTTCCCTTTATTTTTTTGAGCAGTGTATATGTATGTGTATATGTATATATGTCTGTATGTGTATATATATATATATATATATATATATATATATATATATATATATATATATTTATATTTGCGGGGAGAAAAAACATATGGGGGATTGGAAGTGATGCAGTTGATGGAAGTTACAATCTATCTGCAATATTAAAGCTGATCTACCCCCTAAAAGAAAATAAAAAAGATAACAAAATAAAAAAACATTTGTGTTGTGAAAACATGATTCTGTGAGGCTTACCGAGTCGATGGGGCAGGCGGGACATTTTCGTGTGGGTCGTTTTAGGGTTGACCCAAACATTCTCGAACAGCACTGTAAAAAGATGAAGGGCTGTGAGTGTGTGTTGGCTCTTGGCTATGTTTCACTCTCTCTTGCACCAGGAACTGTAGATGATTAAAATCTGATGGAATCCTTCCAATTGAGTTAAAGCCAGCTTTTACAGACTGCACTGCTTGGTAGACTGCACACTACAGCGAGCTTCCCTTAATATATTTGAAGTCAGACACTTCAAATACACTTCAATGGCAGGTAGGGTCTCATATGTACCCAATAACATAAAGCAGCAACACCCTGGTCACTAAGGACAAGGTTCAAGCATCTTAATATTGAGCGTGTGATATTAAAAGGAGTGTTACCGTGGAGCTCCTCCTGGCCCTCAGGCAGCAGGCAGTGGCTGAGGCCCCAGGCAGGGGACGTGAGGAGGGAGGGGCTGAGGTTCAGACTGTCTCCCTTCCTAAACTGAGGCAGCAGGGGGAGCAGGGTGGGGCATTGGGGTGTAGTAGCAGGGCTGAGGAAGGGCTCCCTTTTCCTTCCCATGGGTGGGATGACCCCAAGCAGGCGGTCCTTCAGGAAAAGTGATCCTGGCCTAAACACACACATATGGGTTGAAAACACATGCAATAATACTATACTAAGTTATACTATAAAAGACAGGCATGAATGCCACCGGCTACAGGGATGTAAACCTACCCAGTAGTTGGAGTGTCGAGGACTCCGCTCCCTGGGCTGCTCTCGCTGCCGGTGCGGTCCTCACAGACAGAGCAGTGGCCTCCCTGTGTTGGAGATGGAGTCCACAGAGTCCCACAGCTCCCTGGGGAAGACATAGAGAGAGGCATTGACTCAGGTACATTTGTCCTAAACACACCTGTCCTGTATAGCCCTGTAACCTCTGAGGACCCTCCAGTCTTACTCACCCTCCAGAGGCGTGATCAGGGGAAGCAGCTGATTGAGGCTGAAGCCTGAATCCAGGGAACTTGGCTGGGAGTGGCTGTCATACACAGGCCACACCCCATGGCTATAACTAGACTGGAGCTCTGACCAATCAGAATGCACTCCCCACATGGGGACAGACACACCCTTCTCCTCTAGGTCAACTATTTTTCCATTGGCTACAGCTTTGTACAATCTCCTTCTTTTCATCTGAAGATCTGCCTTAACATCTGAGAAAAGCAAACAGAAACGCAACATTCTGGTTATTACACACAAAACTAGTTTGTAATCATATTTGATGTAATTAACAGAACTACTCTCCTCACTTCACAATAGTCAAATCAAATCAAATCAAATTTTATTGGTCACATGCGCCGAATACAACAGGTGCAGACATTACAGTGAAATGCTTACTTACAGCCCTTAACCAACAGTGCATTTATTTTAAACAAAAAAAGTAAAAATAAAACAACAACAAAAAAAGTGTTGAGAAAAAAAAGAGCAGAAGTAAAATAAAGTGACAGTAGGGAGGCTATATATACAGGGGGGTACCGTTGCAGAGTCAATGTGCGGGGGCACCGGCTAGTTGAGGTAGTTGAGGTAATATGTACATGTGGGTAGAGTTAAAGTGACTATGCATAAATACTTAACAGAGTAGCAGCAGCGTAAAAAGGATGGGGTGGGGGGGCAGTGCAAATAGTCCGGGTAGCCATGATTAGCTGTTCAGGAGTCTTATGGCTTGGGGGTAGAAGCTGTTGAGAAGTCTTTTGGACCTAGACTTGGCACTCCGGTACCGCTTGCCGTGCGGTAGCAGAGAGAAAAGTCTATGACTAGGGTGGCTGGAGTCTTTGACAATTTTGAGGGCCTTCCTCTGACACCGCCTGGTATAGAGGTCCTGGATGGCAGGAAGCTTTGCCCCAGTGATGTACTGGGCCGTACGCACTACCCTCTGTAGTGCCTTGCGGTCGGAGGCCAAGCAGTTGCCATACCAGGCGGTGATGCAACCAGTCAGGATGCTCTCGATGGTGCAGCTGTAGAATTTTTTGAGGATCTGAGGACCCATGCCAAATCTTTTTAGTCTCCTGAGGGGGAATAGGCTTTGTCGTGCCCTCTTCACGACTGTCTTGGTGTGTTTGGACCATGATAGTTTGTTGGTGATGTGGACACCAAGGAACTTGAAGCTCTCAACCTGTTCCACTACAGCCCCGTCGATGAGAATGGGGGCGTGCTCAGTCCTCTTTTTTTTCCTGTAGTCCACAATCATCTCCTTTGTCTTGGTCACGTTGAGGGAGAGGTTGTTGTCCTGGCACCACACGGCCAGATCTCTGACCTCCTCCCTATAGGCTGTCTCATCGTTGTCGGTGATCAGGCCTACCACTGTTGTGTCGTCGGCAAACTTAATGATGGTGTTGGAGTCGTGCCTGGCCATGCAGTCATGGGTGAACAGAGAGTACAGGAGGGGACTGAGCACGCACCCCTGAGGGGCCCCCGTGTTGAGGATCAGTGTGGCAGATGTGTTGTTACCTACCCTTACCACCTGGGGGCGGCCCATCAGGAAGTCCAGGATCCAGTTGCAGAGGGAGGTGTTTAGTCCCAGGATCCTTAGCTTAGTGATGAGCTTAGAGGGCACTATGGTGTTGAATGCTGAGCTGTAGTCAATGAATAGCATTCTCACGTAGGTGTTCCTCTTGTCCAGGTGGGAAAGGGCAGTGTGGAGTGCGATAGAGATTGCATCATCTGTGGATCTGTTGGGGCGGTATGCAAATTGGAGTGGGTCTAGGGTTTCTGGGATAATGCTGTTGATGTGAGCCATGACCAGCCTTTCAAAGCACTTCATGGCTACAGACGTCAGTGCTACGGGTCGGTAGTCATTTAGGCAGGTTATCTTAGAGTCCTTGGGCACGGGGACTATGGTGGTCTGCTTGAAACATGTTGGTATTACAGACTCAGTCAGGGACATGTTGAAAATGTCAGTGAAGACACTTGCCAGTTGGTCAGCACATGCTCGGAGGACACATCCTGGTAATCCGTCTGGCCCTGCGGCCTTGTGAATGTTGACCTGCTTAAAAGTCTTACTCACATCGGCTACGGAGAGCGTGATCACATAGTCATCCGGAACAGCTGGTGCTCTCATGCATGCTTCAGTGTTGCTTGCCTCGAAGCGAGCATAGAAGTGGTTTAGCTCGTCTGGTAGGCTTGTGTCACTGGGCAGCTCGCGGCTGTGCTTCCCTTTGTAGTCTGTAATAGTTTTCAAGCCCTGCCACATCCGACGAGCGTCAGAGCCAGTGTAGTATGATTCAATCTTAGACCTGTATTGACTCTTTGCCTGTTTGATGGTTCGTCGGAGGTCATAGCGGGATTTCTTATAAGTGTCCGGGTTAGAGTCCCGTTCCTTGAAAGCGGCAGCTCTACCCTTTAGCTCAGTGCGGATGTTTCCTGTAATCCATGGCTTCTGGTTGGGGTATGTACGTACGGTCACTGTGGGGACGACATCATCGATGCACTTATTGATGAAGCCAGTGACTGATGTGGTGTACTCCTCAATGCTGTCTGAAGAATCCCGGAACATGTTCCAGTCTGTGCTAGCAAAACAGTCCTGTAGCTTAGCATCTGCGTCATCTGACCACTTTTTTATTAACCGAGTCACTGGTGCTTCCTGCTTTAGTTTTTGCTTATAAGCAGGAATCAGGAGGATAGAGTTATGGTCAGATTTGCCAAATGGAGGGCGAGGGAGAGCTTTGTATGCGTCTCTGTGTGTGGAGTAAAGGTGGTCTAGAGTTTTTTTCCCTCTGGTTGCACATTTAACATGCTGGTAGAAATTAGGTAGAACGGATTTAAGTTTCCCTGCATTAAAGTCCCCGGCTACTAGGAGCGTCTTTGACTGTGTTTAACATAATGTCATGGGGAGATGTGTGGGGCTGGTACCTGAGGTGAGGGCAGGTCTCTTGCGGGAACGACTGCAGACATGCTTGCGCTTGGCCTTTAGAGTGTGAGGGGGGGTACAGGGGTCAGAGGGGGTGTTCTCTTCACTCTCAGACCCTGTGCATGCACACACACAGTGTAAATGCATTGATATGAAACTCAAGTACGTAGTCTGTACTTGTCTTGATGCTTGGGTGGGGTGGTACCTGTGTCGGGTTCTTGCTTGGGGATGCAGTGGGGGGGCAAGCGGCACTTCAGGGTCTGGATCATACTCTGAAGAAAGTCAAAATAGCGCAGCATGTGGACCAGTCTCCTTCTGAAAATAGATTAGAGAGACATCACACACAGAAACACCCACCCACATAATGTAACCGTACTGTATTCAGGCAAAGACATGCACTAGGCTAGACACAGACCTTTCCTAGCGAGTACATTGAACGTTCTAAGATTTTTAAGAAATCTATTGGATTTGAACGTTACCATGCAGAAATGTAGCCAACTTGATCAACCAATCGATGGTTTGGTTCTATCATTTATTCATTCATTCAACAATGTACAATTATACAGATATTGGTAAAAGAATACATTTACACTTTAGTCATTTAGCAGACGCTCTTATCCAGAGCGACTTACAGTTAGTGAATGCATAAAAGGTTATTTTCTTTTTTTCATACTGGCCCCCCGTGGGAAACGAACCCACATCCCTGCCGCCCATGTGCGCCGCCCATGGGTCTCCCGGTCGCGGCCGGCTGCGACAGAGCCTGGACTCGAACCAGGATCTCTAGTGACACAGCTAGCACTGCGATGCAGTGCCTTAGACCACTGCGTCACTCGGGAGTCACAATACACATATAAATATAGATTTTGGGGGCTAATGTGCAGGTATTTTATTTGTTTAAATCTAGCCTGTTGTCATTTCAGAATGTATTCCAAATACCCTACGCAACTTTTCCAATCAATTTTTTTCCCTCCATAAATTGATAGCAAGCCTATACTCCTGAATGCTTTTCGCGCACAACAATTTTCGCAGCAGGTACAGGTCGGAGCAAGCAGACGCTGAACTTGTCTGCCTGAATACACCAGATAGCCACCACAGTTGTACCAACCGCAGACACGGAACCTCGGGGTGCAAAAATGGAGCCATGTGAATGATATGGGGGAGTCAATATGCGACTAGTGTGGACGTGTGTCACGTCTCCTCCCGTTGCTCCCCTCCGGCGCTCTGATTCGCCGGTCTACTGAGCCACTGGTCTGAACGCACCACCTCGGCAACACCGGAATAGAAACCCAAAGCACTCTAATCACCTCCAGCGCACCTGCACCTCATCATCTCATCAGCACCCCTATTTAGCCCTGGACTGTTCAGGATGATGTTGTGTGTGATTGTTTAGCGTCGTGTCGTTTACTTGTTCTTTGTCATTGCTAAGTAAACCTTGACCTTGTTCATTCCTGCGTCAGCCTCTTCGTATACTCAGTGCTCGTCACAACGTTGGTAGATTTAATTTGATAGAATCGCCGCTGCATGTATGTCGCAACATGACTGCGCAAGTGCTCGGTTCAGGGAAAGTAGCCTGTATGGTGTTGTTGAATTCTAGCCTATCCTGTTGAGATTGTGTCAAATGAAATAATAGATGTCATACACTTTTCGTGTTTATTTGCTCACGCTGGGCTCGAGTCTAAGCAGCCAGTGGCCTCATTAATTACATAAACAGTGAATCAGTCATGGAAGGTGGCGTATTGTTTTTTGTGTGATATTTAATATGCGCGTTCGTCTCCATTGCCATACACTAGCCTGGAGTCATACGCACTGTAACGCACACAGTTGAGAGAGGCTCTGTACCAGACTGTACTGTTGTGTGAATCTACCGGTACTTCAAGTCATGAGAACCATCCGGAGGCACCGATCTGCTACGGGCACGGAGCTGCTCCTGGGACGCTGCAACCGGCTCCGGATGTCCCGAGTTCGGGTGCTTCTCGTATGCCTGTGCGGAATGCTGGCTATGGCTCTGACACTTGGATTTTATTTATCGAGTAATGATAAAAGCGATGATGATGACAGTATTCACATGGGCGATAACATACAATTTCGTGTGCCAGACCTAATAAGAGACAAGGTAGGTGATATATACTGTATTGTTTATTGTGTATTGTAGCCTCCTGTTTTCCAATATTGCACTAAGCCTAAAGGAGAAGCCTACTTTTTAGGTAATGCTATCTTGCTACAGCCTAGGTGCCCCAGCCAGCAGGAATACTTAAACCTCTGTTCAACTATAGATGCTATAATAGCATCTATATTGATACACTTCACTGATGGCAGAAAATTAACCTCAAGTCAGATCTTTGATTGCTCAATAATAAACAATATTTTCTGCAAGGTGACAGACAGTTTTCAAAATGCATATGTGAAAAAGATACTGCAACTGCCTCCTCTCTCCTGCTGTCCTCCCCTTCTGCAGTTGACCCATAACCCCCGTAGGTCCACTGTGGCCCAGATCAAGCGCCTGGTGGGCCAGGTAAATTCGGGGAGGCTGTGGTACTCTCTCCTGAGGCCCATCCTGGTAGAGAGACTGCCAGGTACCAGGGGCAGCCGTAGGGTGCGTGAGGTTAGGAACTCTATTGACTCCAGCAAGAGACATCAGGGTAGAACGTCTGTAATTACAGTGGAACTGTTATCTCTTCATCTCTGTTATTCTAACAATTAACACTTTGTTTACTGAAATTAAAATCACACTGTTTTTCTGTGGTTGCCACAGCACATCTACAGCCATCTAGAGTTCCTGTCAGCGGGTTGGTCATTGGAGGTCGACTCCTTTAACTCTGCTACCCCAAAGGGACTAATCACCTTCTCCAACCTGCTAGCAGTCCTGGACCCCTCGGCCCCGCGTCGTCTGCTGCTGGCCTGCCACTACGACTCCAAGGCCATGCCCCCAGCTTCCAAAACCCCAGACGGTCCTCTCAGGAGGTTCCTAGGGGCCAGCGATGCGGCCGTCCCCTGTGCCATGATACTGGAGCTGGTGACTGCACTGGACGTCCACCTGAAAGTGCTAAAAGAACAGGTAAATACTGTGTCTGCTCTGTTACTGTAGGGCAAAGGTATGCTTTAGAGGGCAAGGATGAAAGTGATGACTTGACAGATCCTTTTTAATTCCCCGTAGCACTGGGAATATAAAATGTTGGATTTGCAGAAAGTGTAGGAAAACTGATAAAAGTGTGTGGGTGGGCTACCCTCTGAAGAGTTTGCCTCTCTCCTGAGATGTCAGACTATTTATATATCTAGAGTTTGACCCATGCTCACACATTAATTATTCATACATTTATTTCCAATTTAAACTGTGCAGACATTGATGGGTTGGAGCCCAGACATCATTAACACCCACCTGTCATCTCCCATGTTGGCAGCAGAAGCAATGCATTTGAAAGGATATTGAATGGTAGTCACATATTATTCGACCAATAACTTTTTTTTCTAAGCATATACTGTATGTTATATTACAAGAAGATCTACCACCCCATCCCCTGAATAATTGTTTCTCTCTGGCAGAAGTCACAGGTGACGTTGCAGTTGGTCTTCTTTGATGGTAATGAGGCGTTTGAGCAGCCGAGCCCCTCCGACTCTCTGTATGGCTCACGTTACCTTGCTGACCAAATGTCCCGCACCCCTCACCCCCCAGGAGCCGAACATACCACCCTGTTAAATGCTTTGGTGAGGCTTTGTTAGTGTATGTTACAATGTTCCCTTTCCAAGCCTTATGTAGTATGCAATTGTTGTGACTTGACTTTTAACATTAATCTGAAGACTGTTATTTCTCTAACTCACTATGTTTAATTGTTACCTGATTTAAATTAACTCATTAGGATTTGGGGCACCACGAGTGGTTCTTTAAAGAGTTACCATCTCCCGAATTAAACTCTAAAAGGTCTTTACCTATCACATCTATAAACAGTCAACTTATTAATCATAACCTCGTATCATATCATCATTCTGAACAGTTGTAACCTCTTGGCATCTGCAAAAACCTGAGCCTTACTTATGATTCAGTACTACACAAATTGGTTTAATTATTTATTTACTAGCTAATTAAATGGCAACACAGGATAAACATACACCGGTTATTGACTGACGACAACATGGCTGCTAGTTAAAGAAGAGAGCGAGAGAGAGACACTTAATACGTTGAAAACATTCAGAAACTACTCTCACCTACAGTACCCATATACTTGGCACATGAACCGCCGCCCGCTTTGAGTAAGAAATCATGAATGTATTTACGTGAAATGCAGCCTTGGAAAGGGGTTGGGCCTTTTCACTGCACGCTTGTAAGGCTCTTCTTGTCCAAAATGGTTCACAATGTCCTTCTTCGTAGTTGTCCGGTCTCCAATGACTTGTCATGTAGTCCTGAACAGAACTACAGAATTGATTTTCCTTCCCGTCGCTCTGGAGGTTGCTTCTTTGAAGATAGGCTAGCCAGCCGTATCGATGGTTCCCCAGTGGGGGGTGAGAGTAGCGTAAAAAGATGGTTTGAGCAGAGTAGCAGTTTGTCCTACTTAAATTTGCTTTTGAAGATACCTTACTTAGGACAGCTAATCAGCCGTACCAGTGATTTTAAATGTGTAGCTGCCGCTTTCATGTTTTCTGGTCTGGTAAGTTAATTTATTTACCCATCTTTTATACACTCTGCTTGAAAAGGGGCGGTTCCGTCAGGCTGACACGCTTTCTGACCTCACTTTGGGCGGTGACTACTTACTGTGCAAAGTTTATGGAAAACAATTATCTCTTATAGCTTATTAAATCACATCCCTCTCTTAACAAAAATACTTGCATCATTTTTCATATTACATGCACAACGTATAGGATGGACACTTCATACATGTAGTGGGTATACTTTCCAAGTTACAGTATTTCCTTTATAACAATTTTAATGACATCACAAAATGACATCAGTTTCTATAGATTGCCTCTGACCATTCCCCACGTTCTATGTTTGAAATATTGTTCCAGTATTCACTTTTGAACGTGTTAGTTTCAGCGGGAAAAAGTCTGTTGAAACAGTTATTCCTTTGGTGGATCTGGAGAGGGAGAGCCTGGCCTTCTTTGTTGATTTACGACCGGGCGTGAGCTGTTAATCTCCACTAGTTGTTTCCTTCCCCCTCTACATGAGAGGGGGGGTCTGATTGAAGTTATTCATTACAAACCTGATCTGACCTATTTGGATTCTCGTGGACAGTCATGACAGTCCCCCTCTGGTGGGTTCAATCTTGGAAGGATTCTGCAAGTTGCAACCCCCCCACCACAAGAATGACCACGGGATGTCCTGGTTGTGGATCGTCGTAATTGTCCCCCTCTGGTGGTTTAACCATTATAGGATTTTTGAAGCTGCAGACCACCACAAGAATGGCCATGGGATGTCCTGGTTGCGGATCGTCGTTACGGACCCGTCGTCCGGTTGTCCAGGCTGGTGGATCTAGGCAGTAACTTAGGTAGACGTTAATAACGCACAACACTCACACAATACATTACATTTCTTCCCCAAATGAGCGGCGTTGTGGCACTTTCTGGTGGTTGTATGGGGAACTTGTTTGTGGCAGTATCACTTCCTAAGTGGCAAAGAAAATGAAAAAATAAAATATTAAAATAATAACAATACAAACAAAAATAGTTACCACACCTTAATCATCTAATTGGACTCTATTCTATATACGTCCACGGTCTTAGCTAAATGACTCCAACATGGCATTTTGTCTAATTTAATCTCTAGGACGATCCTACTTAGTGGTGTGTTGCTTAGGGCACTATCCTAAGTTGATAACTAAATGATAAGGCTACAGCTGTAAGGCACTAGCTTCAGACAGTACAGGGATGACCTATGAACCTCTGGGGAGAAACTGGTGACTAATGTAGCTGTAGAGTCAAAGGGCTTCAGGGTCTATTTACCGCTTTACCAAGACTGGTATTTTGCTCGGACCGTTAAGTGATCCTAGTGTAAATCCTCATTAAATGTTCCGTTGTGCGTTTATGCTTGCACAAGCGCACATGCCAAAGGCAAAAAAAACAAGTATCCTGGTAGGCTGCAACCTGGGCAGAGTGAGTCTGATGTCATCAGATAATTTTCATGTCAATGACCGTGTGTCAGTAAGAATTGGTGCCTGTAGCAATATTGATGTTACTCATATTGATGTTACCCAGGAAACGGAAACCAGTTGACTCTTACTGTATGAATGTGCGGGTTGACAACATGCCAAGTAAAGTTTGCTTAACTACATATCTTTGTAGTTAAGCAACCTATTGTATGCAATAGCTAGCTGGCTATTGGATAAGAACAGATTTGTGAGTAGCTACCGTTCCATTCTACGAATAAATCGCCATGGAAAGTGCACTGAAACCTCTGGGAAAAATAGACTTTGATGATTGTAATTTAGCACTGACCTGGAAAAGATGGAAAGAGGAATTCAATTTGTACATGGCTCTTACAATGAGAGAACCTGAGGATTACAAAGTGAAGCTACTGTATTATCTCATTGGGGGAAAAGACAGAGAGATTTGTGAGACTGTGTGGGCAGTACAAAAGACAATCTCTCTGTTGAGGAAGTAATTGCAGCACTGGATGCATTTTGTGATCCCAAGAAAAATGAAACAATTGAGAGATATAATTTTTTTATGCGAAGTCAGGGCCAAGATGAGAGTTTAGACAAATATCTCACTGAATTGAGGACTCTAGTGGCCACCTGCAACTTTGGAGTAATCACAGACTCTCTTATCAGGGACAGGATTGTGTGTGGCACATGTGACCCACACTTACTCAGAGAGACTGATCTCAGTTTAGAGAAATGCATACAGATTGGAAGAGCTGCAGAACTGTCCAGACAGAGAGCTAAAGTCATAAATGTGCAGGGCCCTGTAGCAGTGCAAGCAGTCACACAGAAAGATATACCGAGAGGGAGAGGAGACCCTACAGAGGGACAGAGCATTATACAATGCAGATACTGTGGACGGACACATGAGAGAAAAAAGGAAAAATGCCCTGCATATGGACAAAAATGTAAATCCTGTGGGAAAAACAATCACTTCTCTACGGTTCGCAAAAGTGCAGGGATCAGCAAGAGAAACAGAGTCCTGGCAATGGAAAATGCGCTAGCTGACTCAGAGAGCGGTGAGGATGTTCTCTTCATCACACTAGGGCCAAAGTCAGAGAGCATCAACGTGGTGCAGGAGAAAACCACAGACCCCAATGCAGCTCTCTTTGCAACCATGCTGGTCAACAAAACATCAGTCAGATTTCAGCTAGATTGTGGTGCTAGTTGTAATGTTATCCCTGCAAACCTCATAAAAGCCAGTCACCTAGAGCTCTGCAGTCAGGTATTGGTGATGTATAACAAGAGTACTCTGACGCCACTGGGGAAGTGCACACTTAGAGTGATCAATCCACGCAATAAGAAAACCTACCGAGTTGAGTTCATCGTAGTCAACAAGAATGTGCACATGCCCATTCTAGGCAGTAAGGCTATCCAGGCAATGGAGTTGATTACTGTGCAGCATCACAACATCCTGGCCATCGAAAACAACAGGATCCTGGACTAAAGAGCAAATTAAACAAGAGTACTCTGATGTATTCCGGGGAGATGGATGCTTACCCGGCAAACTGAAGCTGGAAGTGGATGAGCGAGTGGAGCCCGTCCAGCTGCCAAAGAGAAGAGTGCCAGTAGCACTATATAAACCACTCAAATAGGAGCTCAGTGGTCCATTTTTACATTTTAGTCATTTAGCAGACGCTCTTATCCAGAGCGACTTCCAGTTAATGCATTTTTTTTTTTTTTTTTTTTTTTCATACCCCCTGTGGGAATCAAACCCACAACCCTGGCGTTGCAAACGCCATGCTCTATCAACTGAGCTACATCCCTGCAGGCCATTCCCTCCCCTACCCTGGACGAATTGCGCACCGCCCCATTGGTCTCCCGGTCGCGGCCGGCTATGACAGAGCCTGGATTCGAACCAGGATCTCTAGTGGCACAGCTAGCACTGCGATGCAGTGCCTTAGACCACTGCGCCACTCGGGAGATCCAGAGAAATGAAGGATGATAAAAGCAGTTGAAAAAAGCACAGATTGGATTAGCAGCCTGATCGTAGTGAAGAAACCGTCTGGAAAACTAAAAGTGTGCATTGATCCGAAACCTCTCAACAAGGCGCTCAAGAGGAGCCATTACCCACTTCCCACTATTGAAGATGTGCTGCCAGATCTGAACAGAGCATGCGTGTTCTCTGTTTCGTGATGTAAAAAATGGATTTTGGCATGTGGAACTGGAGGAGGAATCCAGCTATCTCACCACGTTCTCTACTCCCATGGGACGCTACAGGTGGCTGTGCATGCCAATGGGAATCAGTCCAGCCCCAGAGCTCTTTCAGAGGAAGTTGAACCAGGCAATGGAAGGTCTTCCAGGAGTCCAAATCATTGCAGATGACATCCTGATTGTGGGAGAAGGAGACAACGATGAAGCGGCGACTCTGGACCACGACAAAAACCTGAAAATGCTCCTGGACAGATGCAGGAAGCTCAATATCAAGCTGAATCCGGAGAAGCTGCAGCTCAGGCTGAAGGAAGTGCCCTACATTGGCCACCTGCTAACATCAGAGGGGTTGAAAGTGGACCCAGGAAAAGTGACAGCCATCAAACAGATGCCTAGGCCTACAGATGTGCAGGGGGTGCAGTG